TGAGAAAATTCCATTAACTCTGGCTCACCTCCGAGCCTATTTTATTAGCCTTGTGAAAGATTGAAGCCACATGGTGTCACAACCATAACTCCAGCGTTATGTTATCTTTGATATCCACCTGCTAAAGCCATTGTCCTGAAACCAACTAAAACACTCTTTCCTGTGTCTGCTTTGTTCTTTTCTTTCTGTTATATGACTTCTCATCATTAATCACTCTTTGGCGTTCCACCACTTCGCGACCGATCGCACGCCCTGCCTGCTTTTGGGCTCTCAGTCAGTGAAAACTCTCAAGTGGAGAAACTGGAGGACCTTCACAAATGGAGAAATGTGCTCGCAGCCTACTGCAAACTGATAATACACGGAGTGCTGGAGATGAGCATGGCAGCAGAGGTCTTCATGTACTACATGAAGGTAAAGGTGAACTCCTCAAATGAGTAGTGTGACATTATGGGGAAGAGCACTAATAAGCTTTTGAGTAGCGAGGAGGTCGAGTGCCTCTCTTAGCATAAAGACTGGAATCAGTAGATGCTGTAAATGACAACGTAACCTGACGTGAACCTCCTGAAAAATGTAACGACAAGTCGGGTCAATGCGGCCCACGATGACTTGAATGGCGTGGAAGGTTGCGGCTGTACGGGTTAAAGAGGCGTTTCCAGTTACATCGTAAGTTATGAAGTCTTAACCAAGCTTCGTTCGATCTTTTTTGGTCCATTTGTAAATCTTGGTTATACTATGTTTCAGAAGGGATCTTTATCACTGGGTAATGTTATGATTCACCAAAGCCAATGAGCATGCAGTTTCACAGTCAGACCCGCCCCCCTGTCATCACAACAAGTTTTAGAACACCAAGATTAACATGATGAAACCCAGTTTGTCTTACACAGCTGTAAAAAGTGATTCTTCCTGTTCTGTCCTTTCAAAATAAAGGTTGTTAATATATACACTATTTGATTTTAAACATTCTGATAGTTACATGAGCTATTATTATTTAGACACACACACGCACACACGCACACACACACACACACACACACACACACACACACACACACACACACACACACACAAAGAGATTGGTAATATAATTAAGTTAGATTATTTTTTTTTGTATAAACAAGCAAAAAAAAATGACATGTATATTTCTTTGTAATATTTATATTGATGTGAACATAATATACAGGTGTCTTTGAACAAAAATGCAGCAGCTTTAATCCAACACTAGCAAGAAGACAACTTCTTATAATGTGTTGTGGTGACAGGAAGTACACATGCGTAAAACTAACCGAGTTTCCGTGTACATATCTGGCAGTGATGGGCCTTCAGAAACCAGTGAAAACCTAAATATGTTTCATTAAACTCTCTTAAATTATGGTTAATGTTATAATCTTGTGTTATTTAGGTTGCGTGTGGAAATAAAGTCTTGTTTTATAATATCTGTGGTTTGTTTGGCCTTGTTCAGCATCCAGTTGGGTTTAAAACCCTCTAAAGGACCTTTTCAGTTTCTTCAGTTAGTTTTGTGTTAAGCCTGTTTCATATTAGCCAAAATAAGCATTTCATTTAATATCACAGGGAATCATCTGCTGACAAAGCTAACTAGCCAGTGGCAGCATTAGGCAATAACTCCCTTGCTTTACCCTCTTGGGCAAATTTGGTTGGAAAAAAAAATGGTGCTAGCCAAAATTTTGATACATCAAAACAGTGATGATCCACAAACCAATGGGTGGCATCCATCTTTTATATACAGTCTAGACTTTGTAAGAAGATTTTTCTACTAACTTATCCAAGAAGTAGTTTAGCACATAACTAGAAAAAAACACAAATCGTTGTGGGTATCGAACTAACATGATATAACATGTTAAACAGAGACTTTTAAGGGTGCTGCTGGGTGGATTTTATTGCCTTTGAACCACACCAAGGCTGTTCCCTCTGTTTTTGTGCTAAGATATTCAACTCAGCCTCAGTTTGTGTTCCTAATGCATGATCAATAAATCCCCAAAATACTATTTTAACCATCTAGCTTCATGTGGTTTTGTGACTTACAAAAGATGAATATGGTTGGGTACTTGAATCAGGACATAAAGGTGCACTTAAAAACCATTTTTATTTATGGAGGGATGTTTGGGTTGCCTTAATCAAATGTAGCGCTTTAATGCTGCTGCTGCTTCACTAAAGATCTTTGGATTAAACGTCAAGTGTCATCGTCTCCCTCTTTGTCCGCAGTATTACAATGACTTTGGAGACATCATCAAGGAGACTGTGTATCGCACCAGGCAGATGGATAAAATAGAGAGTGCTCGCACACTGGTGCTCTGTTTGCAGCAGGTATTGTCACTGAAAAATATAAACTTCAGCCCCAAACTGTCACTAGAAGGCAGCGAGATACTGATGTGCTGTCGTGTGCACCTGCCAGCTGTTTGTGCGCCTTAAGCAGGAGCAAGAGAGCGGCGGCAGGCCTCACCCAGGAGTCCAGACTTTCACCAGCATTAAAGAGCTAGCCAGGCGATTCGCCCTCACCTTTGGGGACCTTGTCAAGTTTCGTGAGTGTGTCGTCCTGGTCCACAGGTTGGCACGTGACCTAATTTCTCTTTTTGTGTTACTTTTTGCTGATATTTTTCCTTTTTGTTCCTAAAGTCTGTGTGTATACGTGTTTAGGAACGGCATCGAGTTTGTGTTCCAAGACTTTACTCAGACTCCAGACTCATCTACACCACTGTACCTCTCCTACCTGACCATCCTCAGCGAGTTCTCCAGCAAACTGCTCAGACCAGACAAGAAAGCAGTGTGAGTGCTGAAAGCAACAAGCAGGAGTTTAAATGGTTTTTAAAGAAAAACAAAAACCTCTGAAGGCTGCTCATGTCTGTGCAGGTTCTCCTACCTTCAAAAACACACTGCTGAGCACATTATTGACCTCAGGGAGGAGTGCTGGCAGCCTCTCATCTACTATCGCGCATCCCTGTTGGCTGTAGCCGAGGGGGAGGATGCCATATCCTACGTAAGCTCGGACAGGAAGGCCAACCTGCCCAATCGCTTGCCCTTCTCCAAACAAAAATGGGAAGGTAGGAGAGCCGAGTTCAGTCAAGCACAGAGTGATTTCCTCACCATCACCAGCTGCTTCAGGTGTGTATCCTTTTTTATTTTCAGGAAGAAAGTCCCCCAGTCTGTTTAGCCCTGGTGAATCCAAAGTCAGCAAGGTGCGCAAACCGAGCTGCAGCCCAAGGTGAGCCCAAGTGAAGTGTTTTCAAACCAGCTACGAAGCAGGTCTCACATGAATCACTGTAACCTGACCTCTCTCATCAGCCATCAGGAGAAAGCAGCTGATACAGATCCATTTTCTGTCCCTCTGGATCCTCCACCCAAAAGACTGCACGCTGAGGGATCTGTAATCTGTGTCACCAAGGAGCCAGATGATGGTGATTGTACCGTGGAGGTTGAGCTCTGAGTGTGAGGAGGTCGGGAGAATCGGTGCTGCCGTCTGCATGACGAGACCTCAACAGATGTTTTACTTATGATGCACCTTGTTACCAGTGTCCTCTGTGTGTGGATAGAAACTGGTGGGGTTTTTTTGTACAGTGATCATGCAGCATGTCATGTTTTCAGAAGGATGTGATCAGAAAGGATAAAGGTGGCCATATTCTGCCATGCAAAGACCAAAACCACAACAAATGTGTTTTAATCCACAGCTGAAAATAGTTCCTTATATTATTACCAACAAACTGCTGTTTCAGTAAAGTTTCCCCAACACTGCACTTCCCAGATGTTTAAGTAAGTAAGTAAGTAAAATTTATTTATATAGCGCTATAGTAAACAACTGAGGTTGTCTTACAAAAAAAAAAAAAAAAAAAAATCCAATTTGGGATCATTTAAAAAAAGATGGAACATTTTCTGAAACTGTACATGCGATTTGAGTGGAGTGATACAAACTGGCTGATTCAGGGACCAGAAGTACAAATTGTTGGTTTTGGCCTTTTAATGGAAAAATAATGACCAACACCAGGATTAATCTGGTGTTATGATTTACAGACCACTTTAATTTGAGGACCATTTGTATCAGTATGTGCATAGATTTTTTTTTTTTTTTTTTTTAAACATACAGCTTTACTGTAAAAAAGACTTGATTTTTAAAAATGACACTAAATACTTTCTCTTTTAGTTTTCCTATTGGACACAGGGTCAGTTAAGAATTGTAGTTTTTATTTTGATACCTGCTACTTATGTATTTAATATCAATTAATGTAAATTAAAAAAAATATTGCCTTCAAGTTAATAATATATTCTATACTTGGAATAAGTTAACAAGCACTTTGTTACTTTTTGAAACAGCTGTACATTTATGTATTGTTGTGCACAGAAACATTGGTTAGTCTGGTAAATGATATTCTCTTATCACTAACAAACAGCGCAAACACTTGAAATGTGATATAGATAATTTTCAGCTGGTACAGATACACTTACCAGCCACTGTGTTAGCTACATCTTTTTCACTGCACGTTAATTCAAATTTCCAAATCAGCAATTCGGTGTGTGCAGGACCTGGACAAGATAACCTGCTGAAGTTCAAATTGGGTATAAGAATGGGAAGGATTTAAGTGACTTTGAGTGTGGCGTGGTTGTTGGTGCCAGACAGGCTGGTGCCAGTATTAGCTGGTCTCTATGGTTTACAGATGGTCTTAAAAAGATGAAATATCCAGGGAGTCACAGTTCTCTGGGCGAAACTTCCTTGTTGATATCAGAGGTCAGAAGAGAATGACCACACTGCTTTGAATAGGAAGGCAACAGTAACGCAAATAACTTGTTATAATCAAGGTATGCAGAAAAGCATCTGTGAACAGCAGCAGAAGACCACTCCTGTCAGCTAAAACTAGCTATGATTTGCACAACCTCCCCCAAACTGGACAACAGATGACTGGAAAAATGTTTCCTTCATATAAAGTACAACACTGAACGTAACAAAAAGCATTTCTTTACATCACGCACCACATTAAACTGCACACTCGGTTTTCTTTAGTCTTCCATTAACCAGGGCTTTATTATTAATTTAAAGAAACACAAAACATTTGAAAATGGTTCCTTTTGTTCTGTCAAAGTAGTCAACTGAAGTACTCTGTGACATAGAAAAAAAAGGTCTAAAATACTTGCTCAAATCACATTTACAGCACAGCAAGCACAAAATAAATATTTACATTAATTTATAAATTCATCTCTAATAAATTATAACCCCATCTCGCACACACATTAAAGTCATAACGAATATAGGTCTGTACAACAGATGCTGTGTGTGTGTGTGTGTGTGCCTGTGTGTGTGTCCAGAAGGCTTAACGGTGGCTTGTTTGGCATTTACAGCAACCTCCAACTGCACTGACGAGTTTACAGCAATATAGAAAACACTTCGTTGTGATCACTGGAATGTAAGACTAGCCAATAAGTTCGATATCTGAATCCAATCAGCATGGTTTTTGTCCAAAATACAAAACAAAATGAAAAAACAAAAAACAACCAAAACTCCCGGAGCTCCAGTGTGAGATTTTTATGTGACTGATTTCAAAACATTTATGTTTAGATGAAACAAAACTTGCCCCAAACATTATTGATGACCAACCATTACATGCAGAAAACAACTTGTTAATGTGTGGGGAGGGAGCAAAGGTCTAACGTGTTCACTCGTGACATCTTGTCTGCCGGGCTGTTTACTGTAAGTGTGAAAATGTAAAACGTCTGGTTCAGTATTGAACTACTGTCTGTACTTTAACGACTTCTTTGTCAAATCTGTGTCAGCATGCACGTTTCTCCATCTGTTTGCAGAAAAAGAATATGGCACTCTGGCAGTGCTTGACTGCATCTTTCTGGTTTACTCTGTTTGGTGATGTTTGTCCACTAACCCAGGTGCATGACTTGTGTTTCTAAGAGTGGAAGGTGCTCAGCAGCTACACTGCAGGATAAAATACAAAAACAAAAATCATTCGAAGTCATCGTCATACTCATATTCATCCAAGTCCAGGTTGCAGTGCGGGGTGGGGATCTCAAAGAAGTGTCTCTTTGTCAGACCCAGCTCACTGGAGATGTGCTGCCCTAAAGGGCTCAGCGGATTTTCATACCTAAACAAAAATACACACAGACAAAACACTCAGTGTCATCAGGGAAAAGATACTTTAACACATTTTAAACCGTCACGAAACAGAAGTCAGAAGTAGTCAGACCAGTTTTTCTTTGCTGTCAGGCCTCCTGTTCTTTCAAATTTAGCAATGTGGGATAAAATTCACAGGCAAAGTTTAGAACAGTGACAGTGAAACTTTGGAAAGAACAGCTGATCAAGCCTCATATTTCCATTCTAAAAACGTCAGAATGCATTCTGACATTGAGTGAGGCCAGTCAATTTTTCCCTCCACCTGTTCCTTCTTCACAGCTTCTATACTGGCCTCGACCCATAGAAGTCATTCACAGTCATTCAAGAATAAAACTGAATTTGACCAACATTTACAGAAACGTTGGAGACATGGTTGATATATATATCTGCCTTCTTTCAGAGAGCTAGATGAAGTTAATGTACCAGGATATCAATATAACAAGCGAGAAATTTGTATTATTTTTCCTTTGATTTAGTTGTAAAGTTTATCAGTTTATTAGCTTTAGGGGTGAGGGTGATTGGATCTTTATTTAGAGAAACAAGTCTTCCCATCTAATTCTTAGCAAGAAAGTATATTCCCCAAAAATGTCAAAGTACTTTTTCAGTAACTTGGGTAACAGGAGCACAAGGCATGAACAGAGGTGGAAAAAGTTCATTCCCTTATTTTAAGAGGAAGAAGGATAAAAACAGAAGGTGTCCGGTTCAAAAACAGACTCCCAGGTCCAGGCAGTGGCCACGATCATGACACCCTGCTGGCTGACATTACAATTATCTGCCCTATGCTCAGATCAGTGATGGGACAGGTAGACGCTAGGAGTGGGTTTAGGACTAGACTTTCCCAGAGGAAGAAGAGGAGAACAGCTGAACCCTGGTGGCACCCTCAGTTTCTTACCTGCTCTGGTTAGCAGCCATGCTTTAGAGTTAGTCGGTAGTGTTCCTAAAACCGCCACACAACATAGCTGTCAACAGTCTCATTTATCACAAACTCGCTCTCAGGGCGGCATTGAGCCATGACTCCTGAAAACTTAACAACACAGTGCACTCTCACTCATCTTATGACTTTATCTATGCCATCTGTGAATACTTTACAGTACACTTTCACTCTTCACACAGAAAAATGACTTTACTGATAATAATGATGAATTTTAGATTTACATAGTCAAGCTTAAGGTTATGTGCCTGCTGTCCAAAACAACTTTAAGTAATCAGATATATGCTTACTAATAGCCACAGTTCATGTTCCATCTTATGTGAACAGATTACATTAAAGGAACCATCATACAGATGGCATTAATAATACTCAAATAAGGATAAAATAATCAGTAATTGCCTCAAAGGGGAAAAGTTCAAATTAAACTGGAGGCACTACGACTTTCAGCTGCTGTTGTTCAGGCTTGCAAGCAAAATCAATCCCAGTTTTATTCTCATTTTTTGCACCAATGAGAACAAAAAAAAACATCCAATTGCAAACAAGGAGGCTAAAGCTACCATATTCCAATTTATCATATTGCATCAGCTATTCATCATCAAACTTCAGAGACCTCTGGTGCCGTCCTAAATGTAAAAGCATTTTGAATTTGTAAGAAGAAAAGAACTTTTTTTTACGACTACGAGTGGACATGAAAGTGAATCCTTTTTTCTTTTATCTTTGCTTAAGAAAAACTAAATGTTTGAGAAAACCTGAACCTTGGATTGTAACTGCTGCCATTTCTGACAGACCTGTGAGTAACATCACACTTACACATCGTTACACTGGTCATTGGCTGCCTCCTCGGCTACCAGTATGTCGTACTCCTCTGCAGCATATTTCTCCCAGTTTGACAGCTCCTGTCCGTCCGTCTCCACCTCCTTAAAAACACGACAAGTTACATGATCCACTGGCAGGAAAACGAGACACGATGCTGTGTCAAATGTGGTGGCATCCAGTCAGAATTCAATCTTGCTCACCCTTATGACAGAGAACGGGTCCTTTTGCTCGTGGTCCAGGTACTTCTCGATGTTGAAGAGCGTGTCAAAGAAGATATGAGCCATCTTGCACCTCTTAAGATCCCGCAGAGTGATCTTACCTGGACGACAAAAATCAGCTACTTCAAATGGAACATTTATGTTGTGGATATTAGGCAACTTGTATCTGTCTATATGAGGTTTAGCCTAGGAAGTAGTACTGGTAACCCAGCTACAACATCTACTAAGTCTTTTTACGGTTTGCCTCATCTTGGGGCGGAGGGAGGGATGGGTGTGGTGTTTTGTCCGCAGATTAAAACAGAGTATGGCTTTGGTGACAATATTTCAAACTCTGGCTGCAAATAACGATTTCCCTACTGCTTATTTGGACAATAAATACTTTAAAAGGTAAACTATACTTAATGTTTACTTTCTTGTTTGATTATATTAAATTAAGAAAGAAGAAATCTGAAAACAAAACTTTTTTTTTTTTTAAAACAATTCAGGTCATAAACTTAATTTCACCTAAGTAAGCTGTGCTGCTTGGTGACTTAAACAAAGTGATGGAGCGAATTTCTATCACACTGTGGATAACACCAGCAGCTGTCTCTCATCTATCAGTGTCCCCTCAGATAATGATCAATGACCTGGCTTCAAAATGTGTGTGCACGCATGCCACTGTGATTGTGGCATGCGTGCAAACTACAATGTGAATGTCTGAGTGTGTATTAATGTAAAACAGGTCTGACCTTCGACCTCAGGCTTGACAAGGTCAAGCATTTGGCAGAGGCAGTCCTCAAAGGGCAGCGGCTCAATAGCCATGGCCTCCAGCTTCTGGCACTGCTCCTCGTAGAAGTACTCCAGCTCATACATGCTGAGCACCCCGTCCCCATCCAGGTCCATACAGCGGAACCAGTACTCTATGCTAATCAGACATAGATAGCGTGAAAGAGGAGGGGCCAGACATGAGCGCAGATGAAACCTCTAAGCAAAAGGATGATGCAATCAGTGTGGCTGAGTGTCAAGATACCTGGTGTCAGTCTTCTTGTCTTCCTCAGAGATGAGGAACCAGACGAAATCAGCGTAACTCAGCCGCCCCTCCTTATACACTCGTCTGTCCCTGACGGAAAACACACAAAACTAGTATTAAAGCTGGCAGTGGAGACTAGATAAGACTTTCATCTTTTTAAACTTGATTACATTTACCTTGTTACTGTTCCTGAGAATATTCTCTCAATCATCTTCTGTGAAATGGCTGGAAAACAAATACACAAAGGGGTCACTTCCAATCCACTGTGTTTGGAAGAAATATCTCTTTTCCCTCTTAGGCAACAGCTCCTTCAGTTACTATACAACTTTTTCACAACACATGTAATCCATTCTCACAGTCTGTAAATCCAGACTGGCTAGTGCAGCTCTTTTTTAGCTTGACAATGCTATAAATCCTCTGGTCATCATTTCGACTGTACGGTGTTAGAAATTGTTCCAGACTTGGCGTCATTGGAATCGAGTATATATGCTGCTCTCTTATTGATCTCGTGTCTCATTTCCCCTGCTTCACTCACAGACCATCAACCAAGAACATGTGGTGTGGAGTGTGTGGGGAGACAAATCTTTTTTTCCTGGCTGTGTGTTTGTTTTGTGAGGAGTAAGCCCGGACGGACCCAATAACATTTACAAATGCCTTTTTTTGTTCCATGTAGTTTCAGCCTACTGACTGTGCTGCCACTGGCAGCAAGACTTAAGCAGAGTTCATTTGGTTCTGATGAGGCTGAGCACTCCTCTTCTATCTTCTGTATGCATTTTTACAAAATACATGTTGATGGGACATAAAGAAAAAACTATATTGACCAAACTAATGATTTAAAAAAGGCAGGGGTGTGTTTGTGCACCTTGGTCATTGTGTCCTGCTAAGTCCTTCTGGTCTATGTAGAGGTCGTGATCGGTGTCCAGCTCCCAGAACTTGCAGTAAATAACATAGAAATGTTCGTAGGAGAAGAACTCTGTCAGCTGGTTCACATCCTCTTCTTGCTCCAGCAGCGCTACGTTCTACCCAGCAGAAAGTAGAAAAATCTCTCATTATGATTATAGACCAGTTACTATTGAAAATGATTCTTTTAACAGTTTATAAAGTCCCATCCCCCAAAAATTGAAGTTAATATGCATTTCCATATTGATGTGATTTCATTATTATTTTTTGAAAAGAGAAAAAAAACATATTAGATGTTTTAGAGTCCAAACAAATTGAGAGAAATGGTTATTATACATCTGTTTAAATTTTTAAAAAAAATGCAGAGTATGTGAATAAATACCTGGAGAAAGTTACTCTTCCTGAGCTCAGAACATGTTATTTTCCCCGTCCATGACCGGTTCACATTGTAAAATACCCTCTGAATCACCTGAAAAACAATGGACAGTCTTATCTTTGAGATAATGCCATTTCCGTGTTTCACTACAAAGTGCAGTGGTGTATAATTAAGGCATACCGTTGTGATGTATCGCGAGTGAAAGTCTGGTGCCTCTTTTAGAAAGGCCAGGCCCGGGTGTGAGTTCACTACATCCTGGGAACATAAAGAACAAACCAGCTCACTTTGATGTTACTCTGCTTGATTTATAAAGCCAAACAAAAACAAAATAAACAAACAACCAAGCGATAAAGATCACCCCGATGACACGCTATGCCTTCTGCACTAACAAAAAGATACGCTCAGTTAAATTCTGCAGTTATTTCCAGGCACCAGCTAAATGACAGACAACATCTGTCTTTCTTTACAGGTATACAAAGCACATGACTTTCAAAGAAGGAATGAAAATGAACAAAACTGATTCACACATCAGTAGCTGCCAGTGTTTATAGTTTATAAACAGTGCTATGTAAAGAAATTCTCCTTTTTAGGAAATCAGAATTTTCTTTGATTTACAAATTTTTTAAAATTCTCGTCCAACTTGTTTCGGGATGAGCTTGAGCCCTTTTTAACTGACAACAAAGTGTTAGGAAGGCCAAAAAGAATATGTTTACTGAGTGACCTTCTCTCCTTTCTAACGCCATAAAGTGACAGTGAGGGTGCTGCATTTCAAGTGAACACTGCAGCTATATTCTTGCCGTGAAACTCCCTCATGTCGCTTCTTTATTCTACTCCCCGTCTTTCTACTGGAGGAAAGAATTGTTGACATAAATGTGAAGGCGGCAATGAAATTAAAAGGCCTTATTTCAGGGCAGTCGTCGTGCCTCTTTGACTCTTACTGTGAGAAATTAAATCATAGAGAAACACATAAATCACAGGGCACAGGAAACAGGCGGGGACAGTCAAATCTACTCCACTGCAATCCGCCTTTCATTCATCAAAACAGTCAAAGGCGATTCGCTGAGTGGAACCATACAAATTAAACGGCGTGAGCCACAAGGCATCTCTGGTGGTATGCTAACGGGCGTTCAGCTCAGATCGCCACTTCTGCCAGCATGAAAATGAATCAGGTGTAGGGTGGGGCGTGTGTGGCACACCAACAGCTTGTCAGCTGGGATGCGAATACAAATAGCCGCCACAGCAGGTCCACATGGTAAGAATTTCCAAACAGTCAATTAAACCTCTCTTTTGAGGACAATAAATGAACCGTAAGTCCAGGTTTTTGTGACTATTTTAGTACCATAATGCATTTATAACATGAGCCACATTTTCATCTCTATCAGGGGACTCTTCTCTCATAACACTATATTCCAAGCTTACAGTAAGGTGGCTGAATTAGTCCTCCGCCACATGAAAAAGCACAGTCTCAGCAGGGCAGTCTAAAAACATAAGTCCAGTTTGCACCACCCAAGCCAATGCTATTTTGCCATCCCACACTGCCAAATCCAGCCCTCTCCCTGGGTGTGCTACAGCCAGTACCTGCAGGAATGGAATAAAGTCATCTTGTTCCAGGTAATTACAGCCAGGCTTGGCCAAGAGGTGCACAAATTTAGAAGCGTCATCATGACAGGTCAGCAGAGTTCTGGAGGAGAAAAGAGAGAACAGATGGTTACAAGGTTACTCCCACTTTGGCTGTTAAGTTGCCTCTGTCTGTTTTATCATTCCTTCAAAAGCATAAGTTTGACAATGTTGTACTAAAAAGTGCTTATGTGAAAGTATAATACATTTTGAAATTAAGATTCTGTATCGCTGCTGGGTGATTATAAGCATGGAGTGTTATGGTAGCAACTCAAAAATAATGGGAGTGTCTGTTGTGGCCTCTTCTAAGAATGGCTCAGTCATGAGCTAAAGTCAAAGGGCAAGTCTGTCCAGTTCTCTGGAGGCTTAAGATATTAATACAAGAGCATGCCTATTGCACACAACCACATTCAGTGCAAATCACCAGTATAAAAGCCCCTTGGTATTCCTTTCAGTTTCACGTAGAAAGACACTGAAAGGATGTTTTCATTTATACACTGTATGTATACAGAGGGTCTTTCCCCTTGTGATGTTTATGAGGGCAAAGATTTTTGTTTAGGAATGAAAAGGAAAATGCAATAACAGCAGAGATAATAGCAGTGTATGTTATTCCCAGCGAGTGGTCATCATTGTTCAAAGGAGATTGTTTAAGCCATTTGGCTGTGAGTGAATGCACCAGTGGTCTAGTGACAATAAGAGAAGCTATTGTCTTACTTTCTCCACATAGCCACAAACTTGTGAACGGACACGAAGCCCGTCCTGTCGCCTCCAGCTGAGCAGAACAATGGCACTTTCCAGTAGAGGGGACACTCACAGGCCTATGGAGACAAGGTGGCAGAAGAAACGGGGTAGTGTGTGATCAGGATTTAGAGAAGATAGAGGAGAAAGATTAAATAGAAATGCAAACTCCACAAAACACATGTGACCATTAATGCAGAAATGAATAGTGAAAAGACATCAGAATCAGAATGAGTGTTTCACGGTTTAAAGACTTCCCAGAGGAAACCTAGCTGTCATTGCTCTCTTTACTCAGGTTCCCCTCTGACCATCACCAACCTTCTTCAAGGTCACGGAAATAATATTTTTCCAGGAGGTTTTAAACATCAGCAAACATTCGTACAGTCAGGAGCTAAATGGCACTAATGAAAATAATTTGCTGTGTGGCAGCTCCATGCTACAAATTATCTACTCACCTTGGCAACCTGCCCCATATCCTCAATGGTGGCTCTTTCATTTGGGAATTGGGAAAATATTTTCTCAATTTTGGAAATGAGGCCGTCAATGTTAAGGTTGGCTTGGGGGCGGCCCTGTGGGAAGTAAAACTTGGGAATGCTTTCACTCAGTGCTGTGGTGACTGGCTCCTCCGTCCTCACCTGAGCCTGGGATGAACACAGAGAAACAAGCAGTTAGCGGCTGATGCTAGCAAAGGCTAAGACCACTCAGCTCAAGTATTCCAGCATGAGCTCGAGGCTCGCCTGAACACAAACTCTACACATTGCTGGCATTCATGTAACTATACCTCTCAGCAGCCCAAAGGCCATCAGGGAAGAGTTGTGACTACTCAGCAATCACAATTATTCATGTGACTGACATTTTGCTCCAATACAAATTCACTAAAAGATAAATAATATCTACCAGTGTTTGTAACTTATAATCATTTATTTATGAAACAGTGTCAAAAGGATTTAAGAATTTAGGGCTTTAGACTGGATATAGCAATCTGCAGATAGTAGAAGTCTATAGTCATGATGTGGACAACTTGTGCTACATTAGTCAAATGATTGGTCTAAAGGGTGTTTTGTTTGAAATCTTAATGGAGAATGAGCAGTTTGTACTGAATAATGATTACAGGCTACCTGTGGCCAACTACAATAGGGTATTATACTAAATTTAGTCTTGCAATCTTTGTGCACTGTGATTCAGATGTAAACATGGTGACTTAAAACAACAAGTGTGTTTTAATAACTCATTTTAAAACCGCTCTACTTTTGTTTCCACTTAAGGAAAACACAGAATTTCAAGATTTGATCTTAAATGTTAGGATCCATGTAAAGAGAAGTGAAAAAAATAATTGCAAGATTTTACTACAAGCTTCCTAATAAATGCATGTAAATGGAGAGGCACACTATCAAACATGGTTCATGGCAGATGTTATGGATGGCTCTTTCAAGTACCCAAGTAAATCACGTGTGACAGTGTTATCACTTAAACGAGTGCTGTTCGTCTACGGCCACTATGGTTGTCTTTAGTGGAGGGAAACACAGCTGAGGAACTAAATGAGTTTCGGACTGCAATGTTATGAATGTGTGCCTCAAAAGGAGAGCAACAGCTTTTTAAAAACAGAAAAATGAAAGCCTGCCTTTTTTATTTGTTTTTGTTTTAGCTGCGGGTATTTTTCTTCTTTATTATTGACTGTGATCTATTTTATTCTGTTCTACGAAGCACTTTAGAGTTATGTCTTGAAAAAAATGTTATACAAATAAAGTTTATTTGTTTTATTGGCAGGATATTATAGGCAAGAAACAAAACTGAAACAGGATTAAGTCAGGGATATACTCTGAACACAGCAGAGGCTAGTGGCTTGAAATGAATGTATTCACCTTCGATGCTTGTGTTTGTGCAGTTTCCTAAGTGATATAAAAACCTGCCTTTATGTTGGAGCTTGCATATGTCTGTGTCTCTTATTATTACTATGATCCCAGGCAGAAAACATCATTTTTTATTGTCAGAGTTTGGTTGCTTGTGCTGTATAATATTATTTTGTTCATTTATGCTTTGTTTAACCATGAAAACATGTGTTTCCTGACTATGGAAAATAACATATTCTCTATTCTAACAATGGAGACATAATATTATGTCCAGGAATGTCACAGTGAATCCAACTGACCACACCAACAGAGCATAGCTGGCATATTAGGAAGATATCAAACTCCCTGATAAAAATGACCACTGTGTCACTCACACGGTGCTATGAGCCTTACACATAAAAAGACAACGCGCTCCGTGCCAAATGAATTGTTATGCTGCACTTATCACTATGCAGACTTTAAAAGACGTACAAATTACCTTGTAAAATCATCACTAGGAACTTGAATGACTGTGTAAACATTAGACTACTTCTTATTGTTGCTATTTTATTGCCATTTTATTATTTTTGTAATTTTAATGTTTGTTTGAAACAGGTCTCTCTTGTAAATGAGACAGTGAGTCTCAATGGGACTACCTGTATAAATAAAGGTTACATTTAAAAAACAAAACAAAAACCCAGTTACTAAATACAGCCTGAGCAGACTATACTTTGCTCTCAATCGTCATTCTCAAAGACTATTCAAATGAGTCAACAATGCTCTAACCGAATCATTTTGTGAGGCCTCTAATAACTACATAAACACACCCATGCTTTGCTCAGGTAAGACACCAAAAATAACATCTTGCCGTTTCTTTTGGTCAAACATGTATTCTACCCAAAGTTTATTAGACTAAGTCTCCATGTAACATCATGACTGTAACAATAAAACATTCAACAAGGCCTTAAATTACAGATCTAAACATAACAGGATGGTAATTCTTTCCTTGCCAGCTTCTACTTATATGACTGTTAGTACTGTCTGAAAATGTTTTGTTGTACTCTAATAAATGATGAATGCTGCTGATCCTCCGCTCTTGTCCTCTGTGTTGGTGTGAGCCATGGCTATAAAAGGACATAAACATCTCCCATTGCCCTGCCCCGCACTGTCCCCTCTTTCTCTCACTTCATGCTAACCGCTAGCAAAGCTCTTGAGCACAACTGCTAAGCCACATGACATTTTACATATTCCCCATGATGTGGTCTGAAAGAGGACAGAGAGGCAGCTGTGCGTAACATACCACAAAAGATGAAACACCATCCAGTACGCTTAAATTCCCTACATCTCCGTACAAATGAAGAATACCTTCATTAACTCTAAACTCAGAAACAAAAAGAAGAACTGATTGCACAACAACATTTCACATGACACAGCTGTGCGTGAAAGCAAAGTTTACAATATGCCCAGAAAAAGACTTAACTACTACTTTGCCTTTATTTGCCTAATCCGTTATTGTACTTTAATTAGTAATTGTGCTACAGTGACATCTGAATACCAAGAAAGTAAGCCCATAAATACCAGTCAACATTAATAGACCTGTCCCCTCACTGACAGGCCAGCAAAGCCTGTTTGACACAGCATACACTCACACAAACACCTGCCTGTCCTTGCTGGAAGGCTCTCAGCCTCTTCTTAAACCGAGAGGGCAGAACAAAGTCACATCCACGTGCCAGCAGAGCCAGCTCCTTCCTCAGGTCAGGGTCCTGACGCAGGGATAGCTCCTTCATCCTCATCCTCGCTCCACACAGGACGAGGAACACATAAACATAAACAACACTCAATCCAGCGTTATCCCCTTGACCATGCAGTCACCACTGTAAGTTAAAAGGCAGTGGAAGCAGTGAAGCTTCTCTGTGCGTATGTCCCTGTGGTTGTCCTCCGTTTGAGTGAGAGCCACTTAATGCATGAGAGCAGCTGCTACTGTGACTCTCTCTCCCATTCCAGATCTGGTCTCACAATTTCAGCTCAGCCTGCTGCTCTGTCCCAGCCTCTACCCAACATGCACACGCACACACACAGACGCAGCAGTGTCAGGGAGCCCTTGCCTCAAAGCTGCTGGGGAGATAAGGAAGAACTGGGTGCATGTGTGTGGGAGTCACCTAGTGTATGTGTGGGATGGGAGGGGGTTCAATGGATCTGCCCTTTCCAGTTTGCATTCCTGAGTCCTCATTGAAGGTTATGTAAAGAGACAGACCTGTTGTTGCAGCTAGCAGTCGCCAGAGTTCAACTACAGGATGGATCTCCATATGACAATGTCACACTGTTCAAGCTAACTGGTTTTCCTTCTGAAAGCTTCCACAAAACAAAAAACTTGGGAAACTGACCCCCTTATTCTTTAAAAGGCATCAGGGTGCTAATGAGAAAATTCAGAATAAACCCCTGAAGTGATGGAATATAATGAAAGCTGCATATTACTTCTACTGTCACTAAATTTGCCTCCAAGCATAGATCACAAAAAGAGATTGAGCCAGAACAAGCTACTGATGCATGGGTATGTAAAGTAAATAAGAAGGGTATTTACTATTTAATGACAGAAAACAAGGGTCCACTCATCAGATCATATCTATAGACAGCCATACATTTTCCCATACGTTCTGCATGCTGTCTTCTGGTGGTTTTTGTTTTGCCTTCCCTTTGCAAGCTTAGGCTGCCAGCCATTCCACATCTTATTATAGTTGATGGGCAACAGAGCGAGGCAACGGGACATGCCAAATTCAAAGACTGATGACCGAACCAGTCTGGGCCTATTAAAAGCACCACCAAGCACTGTTTGGGCAATCCAAGAAACTAGATCTGGAAAAACATGAGTATCTTTAGTCCTCAAACAAACATCTACTTCCGATTGCTGTTATCCTGAAATGACGGCAATTACATCAATTCTCCATAAACGCACTGATCTAACAGCTGTAGAGTTGCGTTGACTGCAGAGATTGTAGACAGGGCAAAGCCCAACGCCTAAACACCTTCTCATGCAAGTAGCTAATCAAACAGAAATGTCATAGAAATGTCCGCATCAGAAGACTATGTAAATAAACCTGTATCTGTTAATGTCATTGTCCATAGAAACTAAAAGCACACCCACTGTATTTTTAGATGACAGGACTCCACAGTTTTCCACTGGTTTCTGCTCAATCCCAGTCCCTGGCGTCTTCCCTACAGGATGCTGCTGCTGCTTGATAAGCTGTTTGTATACATTCATTTCACATCAGCTGCCTTTTGCTGATGCTCATTAATACAAATGAAACGTAGAAAGGAAAGCACAACCAAAAGAAACAAAACAAAAACACTCCAACAAACCCTTGACCAGATTCAAGCTTGAACTCTCATCTACTGTTCAGTCTATTTTTGCATAAGCAAACAAAATGTGAAGTCTGTTCCATAAACAGAGCCATCACGACACAGCAGGGATAACAATGTGTTGTTTTACACATGTAAAAATAACCCCATGGGTGTGAGAAGTGATGGTGCACAGGTTCTGTATAAAGTTTGTGCTTTTTAATTAACTAGATAAGACGAGCTCCAGCAGGCGCTATAACAAACTAAATCATCTTAGGGCCACTCCAGGAAAGTTGTCTGAACAGCACCTTGAGAGGCAACTATCTTACAGACAAGCTGCTAAACATCTCCGGGCTGATGGGTCACTTAGTAAACAGAAAAGCAGGAAAACTCAAGCTGACCCCATAATGTGTCCAATCTCTAAACTGTGAAATCTGATTTGTACACAACAATATGTTAAGTCATGTTGACTTAACTGAATTACAGATGAGATTATGAAATACACTGTTCACTGTTAGAGACCTCTGGCAGATCTACGTGTTAGCATTTCAAGCACTCAGATGGCAAGATGAAGCTGGATTTTAGATGGGCTTCAGCAGACTCATACTCTACAACTATGATATTCAAGAGACCAAACCCACCAATCCTATCTGACAGTGACATGATTTCTACATCCAATCAGTGGCGACTTAAACCATCACAACCCTTTGGGAGAGCCACAGCTTGTTCACAGAATAAGAACAAAGCCAGTGTTGCAGTGAAATCCAGAAAGCTCTAACTCAAATCCCCACAACTGGGATTTGAGTTAGACCATCTATGATGGGGATTTGGGATACATGTGAATATTTGTCAGACATTCAACTGAGTAACTGATAACACAGTGGTCACAGACAGAACATGATGTGAGTAACAAATGTCATAGCAGTCTAACCTAGATATTTGAATGAAAATCAATGTAACCAATATGAACAAGAAGTAGAGCAAAGGGTCTGTAACAGCAAAGGAAGAAACTGTAGCTGAGACACAGGCACACCGGTACTTGTATAACAGCACTGCAGTCTGTTTGTTTAAAGATTAGGCTGTAAAGGAAGTTTGTAAAGTTTTTTCTTCTATTGGCACCATAAGTTATTTAAGCAGGATGATAAAATGTTGATGTACCGTACTTTTTTGACATTAATGGCATAACTAGGTAATAGGAATTAATATGTCAAACAATTACACTTTTTATCAAGATATTCAAATCTCATGAAAGTAGGAGATGCCACCACTGAAGAAATATGCTTTCAATGCATCCTGTAGTTTTACAGAAAGCTCACAGTACTAGTTAAAAACAACATTTGCTATTGTACAACGTTGACGCACAAATGACTGAGACTCCAAAATAATAGCACTTGCGGGAAACACTTTAACACCTGGTGCTCTCTGACAGGTCAGACAACTGATAACGTGACCCCAGACCCCCTGCTTCAAATAGCTTCTATGTTGCTGAGTGCAACCAAGCATGTTATAAAAAGATGTCTTAAGAAATGCACGATATACCAAATGCAGATGCGGAGAACAGAAAAAAAAGTGAAACCCTCAAATGCAATGTGCTCTCACTGCCCTATATTTCAATAACTCACTGTTTGACCAATTGGACTCCTAACACTGAAGTGATTTTACGTGTTGAGCTACACAGCAGCTCTGAAAGCCAAGCATTCACGGGAGAGCTGATATTTACTGTACATAGTGTAAATAAAAGACCTGCGACTACATATCCTGACAATGAGCAGCATCTAATGGAAGCAGTTTCAAAGGAAATTACGCAGAAGATGAATGTGCTGCCACACCTCATCTCACTGGCAGAGTTCTGGGTATCCAATGCCAGCACAAGGGAACCAAGGCTATCTATATCAGTGTCTGATGTCAAAGTCAGACCAGCTGTTCCAGGCTGCATCAGTGTGACATAAATCGAATTTTTTAGTAATCCTTTGAAGAATGCATCTGTATGCAGGAATTCATTTTGTTGTCTTAAAATAGAAGTATTGCATTTATTCACCCTCACAATCCCTCTAATATTGAGTGACACAGTGTGGCCACATGCCATGACACATCACAGCAGAATATACAAACTGCCCAGCAGTTGCCTTATAACTGATTGATCAGCGGAGAGAGGGCATTAGCGGGCAAATTTCACAGTGGTGTGTGTGAGAGTGCGTGTGTGTGTGTGTGTGTATGTATGCAAATATCCAAAAGTTTAGATTCAACCCTCCAACTGTTCAAATGATTAAGGCTCAAGATAAAGAACAGAAACAAAGAAAGCCCCTGATAGACAGTTAAAGATAATCGATTACTCTAGTTTCAAAGAGTGACTCTACAATCCACACTTCCTCTTGTGGTCAGGCTATTAAATAATCAACTATAGCTATGAAGAATGAGGTTTTACCTCAACCCCAAAATTTATAATAGATAAAACTGATGGACGTTTAATTAGTTAATTTCATTTTATTGTCCTCTATTGAAATACGCTGTTTATCTGTGCCTATAAGGCTGTGCAGTAAGTTGTAAGACCATAGTTAAGCATAGTTATTTATTTTATAACATACTACCACTAGTGCTACAACTGGTCCTGCTAGTCATGTTTCTAATATATAAACATGTAAGTTGAAACAAACATTAGATCTCATTCTCCTGCTCTGTTATTTTACATGTCTACTTGAAGATCTCCTCATGCACCTCTTTAGCATGTCACTAACATGTAGGAGGTGGGGTCCTGAGGAGCGTATGCCTCCAGCTGTCTCAGGCTGTCTCACTGTCATCACATGCACTAATGTCCACAATCTATCACTACTCTAGGCTTTCACGTTGCACTTCTCATCCTAACAGATTATGAGTCCTTGAGCAGATATACAAAATATTTACGGGCAGCTAACTATTTTGTGTAGATTGTTTTTAGGCCATAATCTAAACAATCCAAAGCAAAGCACCTTGGACCCAGCACAGTAAGAAGTACAGCACACAGACTGAAAGAAGTAACCAGAGCGCCAGGGACAGGCTAGGTTCAGACACTCCCACTTCTCATACCACACTAATTCGTGGGTGAGGCCTGAACATTTGGAAAGTATTTGACTAATAATCACTACATACGCCTACAGACAAGAAGGCTCCACTGTGACTGGGTAGAGTGGACAGCCTCTAAATGTCTTTGATGCTGTAGGTCACTCAGCATCCTCTTGTGGCCAGTGAGAGCAAACAGAGATCCCAGAACATACAAGTAAGGGAAACTTGACAATTAAATCAGTGTTAATACAGAATTTAAAAAAGAATTACAAAAAAAACATTGCAAAGACAGATGTTAAGCAAATATAAGTGAAATCCACACTATGTCCATTTAGAAGTAGCATTAAACTGGACATGTATGCTTTGTATGACAAAGCTCAACTTATGACTAAAACAGAATTTTTTTTTTAGATTGGAAAAAAGTAACTAGGAGGAGGATAACATTAATGTTTACAAATTTTTCATGTGAGATATTTCGATGCTAAAGTAAATTATCAGTGGCAGAAGCCAATGTTTATCTAGTGTGTTGCATCAGTGTTGCACTGGTTAAAAGTTGTTTTAGATCTTGTTTAATAAAGTGTGATGAAGAGGGAAGTTTCTTTTTTCTCCCTTGTTTCCATGTTGCAAAAAGGAAAACTAAACAATAACAACAACAAAAAAGGTCCCCAAAACTCTACCACTTTTGGCTAAATTAGCATTTTTAACACTGACCCAGAATTTCAAGCTCAGACATGTCCTTTTTGCAAGTACATTAAATTTGTACGTCATTCATTTAACTCACAATAGCATAGCAGTTATTTGGGTCATTACTGACTGGAAAATCAACAGTTTATGATTTCAGCTAGTTTAATTAATTAGAGTTTAATGAGCCAGATAAACATTATTTGATCCTAAAATGGTCAGAAATAACAAGAAAACCCATAGTTTTCTATCAAATAAGGTGACACATAGTGACTGCATTTCCTGTTCCACATCATACTCGCTTTGCTGCTGCCCCACCAAAAGGCCCATTCTGTGCCACGAAAACCTTGGTTTAAATGTGCAAATATGGATTTAATTTCAGGTTACTGTATGGATTGCACAATACTAAAAAGATAGGCAGATAAACTGCCAGTTAAACATACAAATAAGTGCATTAAAACTATAAAGATAAACTTACCAGACTGATAAGCTGTTGTGTAAAAAAATGCCAAGCCAGGATTGCTTTATAGTTGGCTTACCAGAAAGCAAAGAGAGGTTCCCCTTTCGACTTTTAAATACATGTTTACTATCGGTATGCAAAGAGTTTAAAATATTCAAATCATTGTGCAACACACCCTCAAGTACCTCAAGGTGGTTTCAGGAAGAAAAAGAACAGGGTGGCACACCTTGTTTTTCAAACTAGTAAATCAAAAACTGTCTGCAGTGTAATGCCTTTAGGATAAAAAAACAAAACAAAAACGGACTAACAGCTGGCACAATGCAGAACTCCTTGTTTAGTGGATCTTAGTATGTTTGTGGATTTTTTCCTGTGGCACCTTAAGACCTTTTGGCTAAATTTTTCAACAATTAGTTAAATGCTTACTAAAAAACATGGAAAATATTTTTTGGAGTTATTGTTCGAATACACAGTTTACCTTCTTTGTGCTGAGAGATCTCCGTAGTACTCTTCCACTTGGTCCAGTCATTCTGGTGTTACTGCTACTTCGGGAAGGCAGGGTACTGGTAGATGGGGTGCCGAAAGGTGTACTTAAGGGAGCAGGCCTCTTCTCTGCCAGGTTCTTCTGTGATGCCACATTGTTGTTTTCATTGAAGCTTAACGACCTTTTATCAGGAACGTCCCCAGTACCTAATTCAATAGGCTGTCCACTTTTGATTAGATCAAGATAATCTTTGAGTATTGACTGAGTTGTAGGATCACTCAACCAGTTGAGAAATAGCTCGTCTACTTTCATTTTAAGAACCGGCTGGAGAACTTGTGGTGACGGCATTTTGGGCAATGTCGTCTAAAGCTTCCTCTGATGACCGTACCTGCGAAGAATTAAAAGCATCTTTAAACTCACACCACCAATATCTGCCTCCCACACAACGTCCATAGATGACACGAAACTGTCAGAGCAGCGGCGCTGAGTAGGTCACTGAGCAAAAAAACATGACACGAGCAGTAGCCCTTGCTTTGAGTACAAACCAACACTCACTCATGTTATTGAAATTTAGCGCGAAGCGTCAATGCTTTAGCCCATAGGCGAAAGTGGAAAACCCATATGACTTCAATAATGTTTCCAGCCAATTTTAATCCACCACACGTCAAAAACGGCTGCATAAAGTAAACATTTCAAAAGCTTCTGTCAATTAAACCTATCCTTCTATGGAAGAACGGGGACTACAACAGGTTTAGCTACTATAGCTTTAGCAGCTAGCGCCAACTAGCCAATAAATGCACCCACCTTGCCGTGAATGGACAGCAAAGCAAAACACGTTAATATGACTCTACATTTCCTTCATAAGCGATGATACTCAGCGTACGTTCGGCTAACAGTGAAAAATAAAAGCACCATCGAAAATCCGGTGACATTCATTTCTCTGGGAGAAAACACAGCAGACAGGAACAACTTTTCAGGCTCTCGTTCCCCTGGTAACCACACAGCGTTATCGCGAGATCGTCCACTCTCCGCGGAGTCAGTAAGCACTTGAGCTGACGCACACCTGTTACAATTTAGAAGTGTGGACGTATTTCTCATATAATGGTTCTATTTCCCCCGCTACATAAGCCTATTCTAACACTGTAGTATTCTCAGTTATAAGTAACAACAAAAGCCTTACTGCCAAGTCTGTCTCAGTAAGTATTAGAAGTGTTTTCAAAGAAACTAGGCCGTAGCCCGTCGACTTGCACTTATTAACGTCCAATGATTTCATCTCCTAAGTTTAATAAGTTCATTTTTATGACTGTAGTATGTAGTATTATAGTGGTAAAAAATATATAAGCATGTAATATAATACATAGTAAGTTTACGATATATTGTGGATTAGTATAAATTGTATGAGGTTGCTATTATTGCCTTGTGCATCTTGAGACACTAATTTAATACAGGCGTTCATTCAGTCTTTTTCTCATTTAACCTGTACATCTACATTCCCTTTGATAATGTATGTTGATGATATGTATTGATATGTTTGTATGATGTCCAGCGAGAGCTGTTCATCAGTGCACTACTCATTTCCATGAAACTAGTCCTGTGTGTCCAGTTTAGCATCGTACAAACCTGATTCCGACTGTGCATGAATAACAATGATGCATGTGTGTCCAATTTCACTCTGTCTACTCAAAGCAGCTGGACTGAGCACCTGCTGTATATGGAGCTGGACATACTTATTGATTACTGTGCGGAGGAGTGGCCCCAGACATCTGGCTCCCTCATTGCATCCCCCAGCATAGAAAACAAGCAACACAGGAAAAGGTCAGTTTAGATTATTGATACCATATATGACACCTGCAATAAAAGAAAGCACAGTGGAGTATTTTTTTTTTCATCAGAAAGGCATGCTTTATAACAGACCCAAGACCCAGGCTTCAACCACTGATTTAATGGTTTGGTTTTTTTTGTACTTGAGTCTTGTCTACATTAGTAAAACTGATTTCATGATCACAGGGTCGGTACTAATGGTACACCAATTTCATGTGGAATTCTTCTCATTTACACAAGCACTGCAGCCAAAACTAACATGTTGGTTATTGTTTGTTTCTGTGAAAACAATGTTGCTGGGTAATTATGTTTATTATGCAGCCAACAGAACAAATTTTGTCTGGACTAATCTTTCTCTTTTGGCATTGACTGATTATGCCTGTAAACATTTTTTCTAAACACCAGTTTTTTTGGCATATGCGCTGTGTGTAATTATTTGTTTCTAATGATTTTAATTTACTTCACTGAAGCTTTATGACTTCTGACATGATGGATGTATTTTCGAAGGTGATTTTGAATTTTTAAAAAGTTACTTTTTGATGGAACCCATACCGCAGTGGTATGCTGAGAGGCTTTACTGATGTTTCTCTTTCTTTTCGGCATGAAAGACATTGGGGACACCTATCACTCCAAACCTCTATCTCGTTAATAAGAACATTCAAAGTGCCTGTAGCTTTGTTTTTAAGAGCGCATTAACGGCGGTTCCGCAGTTGTGAAAAATATCGACTGAATTCCTCTGATTGCTTCCCTTGATAACACGAGTAAATCAAATCTGAAACATCCAAAGTTGTCTGAGGCGCGGCACGTAATGAGAAACCTCTTTGTTCTGTAGAGCAGCGAACCTTACATGTGTTTTAGAGCCCAATCAATATCCGAAATGAGAAGAGAAAAAGTGAAGGTCTTGAAACTTTAGACTTTGCAACTTTTCAAAGTGTAATTATAGTGTACAAATAGGATTTTACCCAAAGCAGTGTGCATGTTGTTTTTTCACGCCTTGAAGGACATTTCAAAGGTTTGGCCGAGTCTGAAACCACAGGGGGACAGCTGGTTAGCGTAGGAAAGTGTTAGTGAGGGGTTTATGTGTGCAGCTCGCCCTTACTGCTGTCAGCTATGCTATATGGGCGCTCTGTGAAGTAGACGATAAGCAATCTGCTCTAATAAGGGGAGTGAATAAAGTTAAAAGTGTTGTGTTGTAGTTATGTGCTGTAGAGAAATATTTGGACCATACCGTACTCACATACTAGAAAAGGCAATGGGCCATGGTTATTTTAAGGTTTAAGTTTGTTTGACATTGGTACGTTTAGCTACTACTATTTTCTCTTCATTTAAAAGATCCAGATTGCAATGTGCGATTTTTTTGTGGCTGAAGTTTCACATAAATTACTTACATAGAAGGAGAGCAGTCTTTAATAAGTAATGTACGGGTAACTTTTGTTGTGTAAAAGTGTAAAAATGGCTTTAAAACATACTGTAGACGGACAACAGTGTCTACAGTGCTTTTACTTACACTCAAAGAAAATCTGGTAGTTCTCTTAAGCTGTTTTTTCTTGAACATCTTACAGGATCTGATACCAATCCAAACATCTTCACCTTTGACTTTGGCTTTCATTCAGTAGGGATGTTTACAACGCAAAGTCAAGACAGTGACAAATTTGTGAGCAACGTTGCCACCTTTGTCTCAATTGCTTCTAAGTGGTCTTAACCTCTGTTGCACATTTGTTTTAAACCAGCTCATTTGGTACATTTTTGTACAAGGCAGAGATAAGAACAAGGCCCAATCAGACAAACAAACGACTTCTCCATCTGCTTGAAATTTGACAAAATGACCCAAATAGTTTTAACATATTTCCCAGAAGATATGTGGAATAGCAATGTAATATTTTCTTTTCTGTTTTATGACTTTGAATATATAACAACTAAATAAGTACATGATAACAGCGAGTTGAAAAGATTTTGATTGTGAAATGGAAATAATATGCAGTTACTGTTAAGTTACGGTGATATTATTCCCCAATCGTTTTGCAAACACAACAGAAACTAGTAGAAAGTGCTTTCTTACAAATTGTATTTCATTATGTAGTTAAACTATTTGTTCAGCTGCAATTTATGCGTATGTTGTTTTAACTTTTAAAATAACTCATCGTGGCACTGTTCTCCTCAGCGACACACGAGCAGACTTTGCTTCAACATACATTGTCAAATGTGTGCTGCAGAAAACAGCAAACTGCATAAGAAATGATTTTAAGCTTGGAGTAACAGGAGTAAAAGTAAGCAGTAGATGCGTAAAAACTAATGCTGATACAGACGCTGCTTCTTTTCAATATCTCAACATTTAGAGCAACATATATGGTTTTATCTTCCCCAGGCATCTCCTTCTTTTATCTGCGCTCCGTAGAAAACACAAGTGTACTTGCTTTAGTTAAAAACATACAATCCTACTGAACCAAGAGCCAGTGTTAGCGCTGGAAAAACAAATTTCAACCTCTCTGCCTGTCGATGGGACTTTTAACATTGTAGAAGAGTAGATTTACATTTTTTAATGTTAGAGGTCTTATTAAAAGTCCAAATAATTGTATATATAAATTACATGGTGGACTATAATGAATGTAAATCAGTGTAGGAGTAGTATTGACGTGATTAATCATTAGATTTAAATCAAAACTATTTTTACGAGCAGATTAATGATCACAGTGCCTGTTGTTGTAACTGTTTAAATGCAGGAACTACTCAGGAACTCACTTAGCTGGAAATATTTTAAGCACAAAGTTTCTATTCTGAAGTGCATTAATATAATCAGAAAGTTGCTCCCATCCTCACTAGCCTTTATTAGATTATTTTTAAGAATTTTTATTTATTTTTTTGCTGTTGTTGTTGCACAGCAAGTGATGAAACTCTGGCTGACAGGGTGATTTAAACTCTCAGATTCCTGTGGCATGTAATACAAAACAAGGTACACGAGTTACCACAACAGTCCTGAAATGTCATTTTTATTTGCCTCTGCCCATCGTGCACTGTGTTTGTTTTATTTCCAGACACTGCTGAAATAATTGTTAGCATAAAGCAGAAATTTTACAAGGATGTTTCTATAGTCTAGTGATATTTTTTGAGCAGAAATCGCTTTGATCTTGGTCTTAAACAATCCTCTGTTTGATATGGCTTTCAAATGAACTGTGGTATGAACCTCACGTTCCGCCTCCCAAAATGGCATCGGGTAGTGATGAGCCTTCTCGTAGCTCTTTCATGGCTACACTGTAAACACGCAACGCTGTTTTTATTCCTTAAGAAAATCACAGACACAGAATCAAACTGTCTTCAGTCAACATTTAGATTCCTAATATGCTGTGCGAAATGGAGCCGCGGAGGAGGAGACTTCTTTCATTAGACACTTCACTGAGGCTCTGAAGTTCACTCCTTCCATCTGAGATGACTTTAAAAGAGAAACAATGCATCTGCCTATTGGGGCCTTTGGAGATTTTCTCTCTCATCACATATTAATGAAAGAGGTGCATGTATGGAGTTGCAAAGCTTAAGCAGGAAAACCTGGTTTTGAGCATACCAAAGAGAGTCGACAGATATATAGATATATTTAATGGAGTCGTATATAGTGTGTCTAATCAACTTGGTATACTATATGTTGTTTCTCAGGTGAAATGCTTTGCAAATTTTCTTCAGTCTAGTTCTGCAGATGCTATACAAGGATGTAAAATGTGTAACAGTTGCCTGTAGAGGGTGCACTTCACTTGGGATGTGTTAGGGCTGTACTCCTCTCACTTGCTTTCTAAGCAGACACAGATACATACACAAACAATTCACTCAAGTGTAATGATCTTATATGAGGCACACAGACAGCATGAATCAGAGGTGAGTTCATGCCAGTTATTCTGCTGAATGCACCGTACATCAGTTTCTCACATTGGCCTCCATTTCTCCTTTAATGAGACAGGCCCATCAAGACGGAGCGGGAGCTTTTTGATATCCTCAGAGGGGCATGGTGAGCAGACACATTAATGCTCATAATTCATAGCAAATCAAGGAAGATTTTGTTGGAACAGAGGATCACACCAATTACCAGTTGTTTATTGTTTGCTATTGTTGTGTTTACTGCAGTCTAATCATATTTGGAGGTCGGCCACAGCACTACATCAGCTCCAAGTGGAAAAGCTCTTTTGAAGCCTTTCATTTCGTTGTGCCATATTAGCTGCACTGAGCAGCCCTAGACAACATGCTGCCTTTGCTTTCAAGATAAAAAGAAGCAAGCATTACATCACTTTCTAAATAACTTTACAAATTAAGAAAATTGCAAGTAAATTGGTCACCTAGAAAAAACAAAAAAAAAGTAAAACACCAGCCCATTAAGAAAAATGTGTTTCATCTATTAATTTGCTTCGAGATAGTAATCGTTTCAATAATGGCTTGAACATGGGAACGAGAGTTCGTGTTCGATTCTGGGCTGATGTTGTTGGTCGCTAATGTTTGGCCAGACAGAGCTCAGTCTTTTCCCTTCTTGCCCCTCCTATGGGACAAGCAAATTCGTGGCATGAAAGCAAGAAAATCATGGAAATCAGCAAGGCCTTCATTATACCAAGGTCATTACATCTGGCTTTTATCCTCCTCTGTACTTATAGGAGGTAAGAGAATCCTATTCTCCATCACCCAAGGCCTCACCTTTGAACACACACATGCACACATAGGCTTACACCAGAGCCAGCATTTGCTCATGCACGGGCACACACATATACACAGGCAAACACACGTAGGTTTCTCTTTCATTTGGCCTGCTTGAATTTCATCATTCATTTTTACATCACATTAGTGTGGTGTGTTAGTGGTCGACTTGTCTGCGTGTAGAGGGCGGCTGTTACTTCAGGAAAAGACTGAATAATGCACGGGAGAAGGCAGGGAAAGGCTCAAAGGGGGTCTGTAACAGAAGAGATGATTGCCTCCTTATACTATACATATATATGGCACAGTTAGGGTGCACACAAAGCGAGGTAAATAGATCAGTGTCTTGAATCTTGCTTCACGGTAAACTGGAATGTAGGTGGGCTGTTTTTGGGCCATGCAGTAGAGTAAGAGTGCTTAGTTGACTTTTTTAAATGATAAATCACACTTAAATGTTGTGTCCTGTCCGCTTACATCAAAAAAGACCAAGAAGATGGAAAATATAAGCAAGAGTTGAGCCAAGTGGGTGAAATGTGCTGCTGTTTTGTATCATTAAATCACATTAGATTATTCTTGGAAAAATGGCAAGTATTAACAGCAGATTTAGTTTCTCTAAGAAGTCAAGGTTATTATTTCAGATCTTTTCAGAGACATGCGAGTATAACAATACATTAAGTTACTTTAATTAGGCTTTTACTTTCAAAATAACCCAAACCTACAATCTGGAGGGGAAAAAACTCTCCACCTTTAAAGTTAATATTTTTAATGGGCATCACAAGACAGTTGAGTCTTACTCAATGCCTCCTTCAGAAAAAGCAATAACTGTGATGTTAAGGGAAAGAAAAGTGTTCTCTTAATGTGTGCCAAAGATGGTCTCTTTTGTCTGCCTCACTGGCTGTGTCTAACTTAAAACTCTCGATTGATCTGATACCACCAAGAACTGGCCTGCATATTAAACCAAAGCTGCGATACATCTCCTTTAAGACGGATGAATTCGGTGCATGTGTGTTTTAGTGGGCTCGTGGCTGCGGTCCAGGTTTGGATTATTACAACAAAAAAAAGCTGAAAAAACCTATTCAGCGTTTGCTGTTGTCCATTAATAGTCATACACACCGTAATATCCCTCAGAAGTCCAGCTCAGCGCCTGCCAACACACATTGGCCTTCGCTTCTGATGCTGACATCATTTAATCTTTAGGAGGAGCTTGAAGTTTCTATCCCAAATCCTTGATCTGGTTCACCTTACAGGATGAGCCTCTTTGTCTCTAATCCAAAATAAACAGACTCGTTATTGTATTCTCTCTCGTCCAAGGCACACGGACTTTTTTGCCTGTCTTTAGGTGAAGCAGTCTCTCTACTTTGCTGCCCATCCACATTGAAAATAATTAAAAGAGCAAAGTGAACACAAATGTCCTCATCTGCTGTGCATGGGAACTGACAAAAAGCCAGGAGATATCCCTTTTCAGAAAAGCATGCGTGCTGCCAGCGCATAAACACACACAAGTCCTTTGTAGATGTATGCGGTACAACAGTATGAAAAACAATCCTCTGTTGTCTCACTGTTTTTTTGTGCCTGGGTGTTTTATAAGCATTGAAAAGGATGCACACTTCTCAGATTAGGACTGGCAGAAGTGCTCGGGAGAGTGCGCCAGGAAAAGGATGAACATTAGGCACCTGATCAGACAGGATCAATGAAAAGCAATTAGATGATAAGTCTGCAGGAGCAGGCCTGCGTGCGCACGACTGCAGGGGCCAAGACCTTTACAACAGCCAGAAGAGTGAGCGAATAAACATATCTCCTTCAGCCTTTATGCAAGAAGTGAATAAGGCTGAAGGAGTCTGTGACGATCTGTTTAGCGTAGTACAGTATTTATGTGCGTTTGTCTGCTTCTGTCTCCTTGTGCGGCTTATGTGTTTTGCCTAACATCTATTGTCATAATGATGTGTGATTATTAAGGGAGCAGGGATTTCACAGCAGGGGAAAAAAAAGGGGCTGAGCCGACAACAGGTTGGGCCTCCCTTTGTGTCTTTGTTTGAAAGCTCAGCAAATCCATATTCATGCTCCCAGTATGCACACAATAGCAATATGCAACACATTTGTTTATAATCTTTGTTTATTTGGGTTGCATACATTAACAAATTCCCATTTCGTGCTGCTGTAATTCAAAGAGGAGGTAAAAGGTAACGGTAAGGAAAGGTTTCTCGCGAAAGAGGTGGACACAGTCTCCAAGAGCTGATGCATTGTTATTTCAGTTCTATCCATGGGAGAGTTTAAGCTCTTGCAGTAGGCTTGCTATTAGGCTAAACCAGGGTGCGCTGTGTTCTGTGTGGGTTGAAAAGACGAGTTCTGACCATTAGCGTAGCTCCCGTTCCTGGTTGCAGAGTACAAAAGCGCATAAGAGTTTTTCTTCCAATTTGTGGGTGTAATGACGACACACACAACAAATAACTCGGCGCTTAATCCAGTCTTTGTTAGTTCATTGAAATATTTTTCCCTTTGTCTGCTCTAACTAAAATATCCATCATTTGTGGCCCTTAAAACTAAATGGAGGTGTAAACATAGCGTATAGGATGCAGTAAACTGCCTTTCCTCCTTACTTGATTCCTGCATGTGCTCATTTCCAACACTAGATGGCTGTCTGTGCTGTGTATGCCTTGTGTCAGCACCAGTGCAGCCTCTTCATGCTGCTTTTTATTGGCCTTAGAAATGCAAGGCTGAGCAAAAGATTTTTGTTAATAATGCTTTGAGACACTCGGGTTATGAAAACACAGGGCTGCAGAGACACAGCACCCAACTTAATGTTTTGATGTTTGAATTTGCCAGCCCTTCATTTTTTTTTTATGATGTCACGAGCAATGGATTAAATACACTGTCATCAGAAAAGTCAGTTGCAGATTCGCACACACGGAGGTGAAAGTGCATTTGAGTGCATTTAAAAATAAACTCTATGTGATGTCAATTCTAATATATATTCCACATATTTCGATCTTTTTAATGTGGTTTAGGAAAGACTTCAACTAAGCTGACAGATTTCAAAACAAGTCAGAGGTAATGCTAATGTCAAAAAACCCACCAAACACATAATTTATCATTCCAGTTATCGTATAATTATTCTGACTGCAGTGCCATTTGTGTATGTGCTTTGTTTGCGTTGTTTAAGAGGCTATTTGTAGTTTCATTATGTGCAGTAAATGGGACCACATAGAGCACTTGGTTGTATTGACTTTGAAGATTGCATTTCTTCCTTCTTCAGAGGCCGTCCGTCTCTTTAGCCTGAAGCTCCCAAACCACACAGCCGGCCAGTTCATGGTGGCCTTTTATTATGATGTCAGCACTTCGCTTAAAGAGCATTCAATATCTCCAGGACGGCCGTTGGTGGAACATCAATAGAATAACACAGACGAGCAATAGATGGCTATTCCTCATAGCCGGTCAGTTCATTTGCTCATTGATTTATTGGTAGCTGACAGTGTAATGGAATTAAGTAGCAGTGATTATCACAAGCAAACAGGTTATTTGTTTGTTTGTTCTTCCTGCATCTGTTTGCAGAGTTTCAGCACTAGCTGTGCACAGGTGAAAGATTACACACGCGCTTACGGACACGTAAATAGATCTACGAAAACTCAAAGTCCTACTGAATTATTTGAACAAAATGAGAAAGGTCTCAAAGTGCAATGTATGTTATGTGATTTATTATTAGACAGGGTAAAAACTAGGTAATGCAAAGGAAAGAGAAATGAAAGAGCAGGAAAAACAAAAGCAGGGGAGGGGAAAGCTATTGGACACAGCCTGATTTTCAGGCCTATTAAAAGATGGTCATCTAGAAAGCAGGCGGAACCTTGTAAGACAATTGAACCAAAATCACCCACATAAATCAGAGCGTGATTACCTCAGGAGCTGGAGTTATTGGGTGTTAACGTTGCTGTGCACGCGCTTTAACTTATTAACACTCTTAATAGTGAGGAACAGATTTTAACAGAAGTCCTGCAAAACCCGAATGAGGTGGAACAACAACAGCAAACCAAAAAAGAAGTAATGCATTCAACTGGTGTTGGTCTGTTTCATCTCGACAGTGGCACCTTGATGCTGAAGTCAAAATCCTCCAAGATTTCACAAAGTTTGGCAATTCTGTGTTGAAAGGTTTCTCTGTTTTTTTTTTTGGTGAATGTGTACAATCTTATCTCTCCATCTCCATCTACTACAGCATCCCTGGTTCTGTAATTCATGCAAAATGAAATGAAAACCTTCTTAGCAATATGCAGATTTCTTTATGCAAAACAGCATTACCTATGGTGCGTGGACGGCAGCTAATGCCTTTGATCAGTCTCTCTGACATTCTAACTACTGAGAAGAAAAGAACTTAAAAATTGTAAAGGCTCTTAATTGAAGTGAACATAAAAGAAGATACATGGTGTTAATTGGTATACGCTAAGAATAATCTAGACCTTGGAGACCACTGTCCCTTACCGGCCCCCCTGCCAAAGTGTCAGGATTTACATCTTTAATTCAAGATTTCCCCACATTAATTACCTCGCAGGCAGCGAAATGCGGATTACTTCATTTTAAAGTATAATAAACATCCAAATAGCCCCTCCACCCTCCTCATCCATGAATATAAATTTTGGTTAGTGTGCAAAAGCAGCACTGGGTCTCGTGTTCTTAAAGAGGTTGTGCAGCAAGCATGTGTCTCAGAAAGAATTTGAATTTAGTAAAAACATAATTGAAGTACACATTGTTGGATGAAAACCTTTAATCATAACAGTTCAGAGTTATAACAATAAAGTTAGAACGATGCATATGGAGATTTAAAGATGAAATTATACTTAGAGGTCACTGTGCAGGTGTTACACCAGATTGTTTTGGAAAATGCAGAGCATATTTGGCATGGTATCATTGGCATAACAACTAATTTGTATGTGTTTCTGTGTGTGTGTGTGTCTGTCTTTTCAGTGAGGTAAAGCAATTTGAACACTGGACTCCAATATGACCTTTGATTATGAGAGGAATAAAGCAGTGCTCATATCCCAGGCCTCTCCGTTTCCTCTCAACATGATGAATGGGACACCCTGAGCTGCAGGACAGAACAACCATTTGAGAATCCAGGGTGACACACACACACACACACACACACACACACACACACACACACACACACACACACACACACACACACACACACACACAGAGAAGTCTACAGACACTGAATCTGAATAATAGTAAGTTACTGTAACGCCTTAATAGACACGCACAGTGTGTGTCCAACTCTGCAGCAGCACACACACACACACACACACACACACACACACACACACACACACACACACACACACACACACACACACACACACACACACAGTCTGTACTATTCTAGCCGCTGCACTTATCTCCCTCCCTTTAGCACATTTAACACTATAGTGCCCTTGAAAATAACCAGCTAAGTTGTGGCTTTTATCTCGTGAGCAGGTTCATGTATGGATTTATTAGTGGAAAATAGACACATCTACCATGGCTTATTGAAACAGTTTCAAACGCATCCCAATGTGGTTAATATTATGCAGTTTATTAAGCAACAATAAGCAATTTATGTAAACACAGTTCAAACGAGCGCCGCTCCTGTACACCTTAAAATCCTCCTCTTTTTTTGAAGTGGTGTTATTTTGGGGATTCATTGTAATTTATTGGCTCAAAGTGCACAATACAGTGTTAAAACTGATTTGATATGGAAACCTGCAGGGACATATTAATTAAAATAGCAATCTAATTAGCATTCCACTGTGACCTAAAAGTTGAATATTATTAGAGCTGCAACCGTCGGCTGTGATGAAAAGAGCTTACATGACAGTGAAATTGAAATTCAAAGAGCTGGAGATAATGTACACACAGATCAAAAGAACAAACGGTGGGGAGAAAAATAACACACCAAGAAGTTTTACATTTCCTCACAAGGGGGAAAACCAGTGTGTTGTGCACACTCCTGCACCCACATTCACACACATGAAAACACTGTTACACTCAGTATTAGGTAGTTGAGTATAATTTAACCTAAAAATGTAGCACGTAGAAATGTCAGCGCAGTGACAAAGAACTTACACTGGTAATGTAATAGCAGGTAAGTTCACTATTTATAAAGTTTAGGAGGAAGAGCAATTTGGGCTGACATGAATATTTTTATCTTTAGGTTATAAATTGGCTGTTGATGTTTTAATTCACATCAGTTCATATGAAGACATAATGTTAGAAAGTTGAAAAATGTATCAATAATACCAAGTAACGTTTTAGTTTTCTACTTACCCAAAGACTATTTTACAAGTTTTAAAGCCTATTTCTCTGCTGGAGCAGGGAAAAAGTACCCTAATTGCAGGACCTACATTATACTTTGTGATCCGATAATAGGAATGTGTCGATATGCTGGCTGAATATAGCAAAGAAGACAATATAACACATACTGTTATCAGTGGTTGATGTTTGTCTGTTGTGCTACATAATCAGTTGTACATGTTTAAAGATAGCGTGAGGAGCTGAAAGAGCAATGAGGATTTTTTTGTTTAGCTGGCACACACAGGGCATAACAACAAAACGTTCTTATCAGCACTCCTGACTTTCAGAATAGTTGCATAGTTTTGGAAGTATTGGAAGTATTTTAAAGTAAGTGCTTTCTATCTAACAATCACACACATTCGCACTTGAGGTTTATTTTACTCAAGCATACTTTAGCATGCAGACTGGAGCAGCCAGAGATTCAATGAGAATTAGGTAGCTGACCTGCTCTGCCTCTTGAGCCACAGCCATCTCACCAAGATATGAGTAAAAGACCAGTTATTATAATATTTCTATGAGTAAAGTTAAGAGGAGTGCATTTAAAGCACTTGAAGTAGGAGTAGGACCGCTCATGATGCAAAATGACTTTTTTGTTATGTTATGACATTTTGTACTTTTATTACACAGTAATATTGTTTCTCTTATTATAAAACAATAATGTAATATTTTTCCCCAGTGGAGTATAATGAGGCATGCAAAATACCTGAAAACTTAAGTATTCTAAATAAACATGCTTGCTTGCTTTACACCACTGCTGTTATCACACTGTCACAATAGTACGTCAGAAAAGGTAAAGAATGTACAGACAAACACTTTTCTATCCTGATCTGTTGAAGTAAATATTGTGTTTTCAAACCGAATAATAATACCAAGAGTTATTGATTATTTTGTCCACAAATGACTGTCCTTGATTACTGAAATCTTCCTGTACGCCTGTTGCGGTCTGTTTTTTCCTAATGATTTTGTGCTCTTGTTAAATAGACACTTCAGATAGGACAAAGCTGAAAAATGACACGCAGTAAGAATCGAACCTGAGGACACCCTGCCCTGAGCAGCAAACCAACTGACTATCTGGACAACCCTGGTTTTAATATTTTATGATGATTGCTGACTTTAGGTCATAGGTTTCCAGCCTGTTTTCCCCATCTCTTGGCTCCTGTTTGAAATCCAATAAGCAGTTCTTCACAGTCATATTGAAGTATAGATTACCTACAGTACACAGCAGGAGGAAGCAAAGGAGAGGTTTACATTGCTGCGATCATTGACTCTACACTTGGTCTGACAGATTTCATCATTTTACCAAAGCGGTTAACCTGTATTAACTGCCACAGCTTTCCCCAATATACATTAAGCCTAACACAGGTCATGACAATCAAAACAGTCCTCACAGGGGTCAGTGCGCTCCACTCTACTCATTGTTACTTTGGTTTAACCTTGAGGGGTTGTATGCTTTTCCCTGCCTCCCTTTGGGGAGACTTGCATATTTCTGCATAGCCTTGTGCACCAGTTGAGGTGCCTGTTCTCTGGGTAAGGGCCTCTACGCTTCTCCTGCAGCTCTACAAGCGGGTGTGTTAACATGTGTCCCTGCAGTGGGCCGCCGCGCCAGCCAGCAAGTGATAATTATTCATTAGTATTCATTAGTGTGAGGTGCTGGCCGGTGCAGGGCTCATGTTGAATCAGTGTTCTGACGAGGCCTCGGCCCGGCGCGGGTCAGTGAGGAGCCAGTAATTAGGCCCACCAGTCAGGAGGCATTTTCCTAAGCACAACACATGAGCTTGAGAGAGACGAGATGCAACCACCAGGAGAGAGGCTGCAGGAAGAGAGGGAGTGTGCATTTTATTTTTAAAAGAAAGCCAACCTTGGCCTCCTTGCTTCCCTGCCTGGGTAGTGCCGAGTATCTTAACCTTTCTCCATCACTCACTCCATCTGCGGTAAAAATGCGAGATAACCTTGGCTGTCTGCTTTGTTTGCCTTGTGCGCTTTCTCTTTGAAGATTTTTTTTAATCCTTTTTTTTTTACTTCCCTCAGCTCTCCTCTCCATTTTTTAATTGAAGGATATATATAGCGTATATGACTCTGTTTCCTTAAATCTAATATGTTGGTTGCATATGCTTATTTATGGATCTTTGCATGTCAAATGGTTGATAATAGCAGCAGTTATTATCACTTACAGAGATAATTGTGTAACAGTTAACATGACAGAGTGGTCGCCTCCCAGGAATGCTGTTAGTATTGTAAATGGGACCGAGGCCTAACCGAATTAATCTAATTGAAAGATAATTACACTGGCTGCAACAAAGCTGGACCAGATTCATCAAACTGCTTCCTGCCCCCGTGAGCCATTAAGAGGAAGAGATCTACAAGCAAGCACGGGAAGGTTAAAGGCATCCGGGGTGCTCAAAGCTGGCTGTGCCGAAGCTGTCAGTACATATCTGACACAGAAAAAGAGGATTTGACATTGACTGACAGCAATTGAGAAAACAGGGGGTCAAATGTTGAGCTGTTGCGAGACAGGAGAGAGGAAAGGCGCGAACCCCCCAGATCCAAGTCTCTGTGGAGGACAGCAGAAATCCAATGAGATGATAGCTTATCCTGTCAACACATAATGTCAGTTTCCCTTGAATATAAACAAAGAGCATAAGACACTGACAACCTCTCACTCTGCTTCTCTTTTTGTTTCTTTCTATGTTGTTGTTTTTTTTGCTTGTTCATTCATGTGCAAGCATGGGTACACATGGATGTGGGAAAGGGAGTGCCTCACATAACCTCGCAATATCCTGACATGATTCCAGATTAGACGAATTCCCTAAACTACAAGCGAATGGCACGACACCCTCGTCTTTCCCAACAAGCCCCCCTCCCTTTACATTTCCTCATTCCTTCCCTTGGTCTCCAGCATGCACATTTTTTCTCCTTTGGATTTATCAGATTGGCATAGGTGGGTTGACAGCTCTCAAACTGGCACTGCAGAAGGGGGAGATCCCAGAGTGTGAAGGTTAGCTGGATAAACCTATCCGGGGTCTGCCCAGGAGGAGGAGAGGAGGAGAAGGATGAAGAGGGTGTGTATGAGGGGGGAGGCCATGGGAGAGCTGGAGAAGGGGAGAGGAGAGTGAGGGAGAGAGGCTTGGTAGGGCCCCGCTGAGCACATAAGCTTCCATGCTGAGCGCAAACGTGGCTGGCTGACAGTTGTGCTCAGCCTTCACTGTAATAATGAATAAAAGGAAACTCCCTGCAGATTACACATCTTCCGTGTTTTGACATTGACCTTAATACATAATTTAACCACAAAGCCTGAACAGTGTGTAACGAGATAAGAGAGGACCAGAGGATAGAAAAAAGATGCCTGGCCTAAAACATACAGGCCAAAAAAGGCGCCTCAGCCGTAATGGCTCTAAAATGAGCCAGTCTGTGAGGACCAGTATTTTTTTTCTAAACAAGATGGGAGTATTTGTGGGAGAAGACTGGAAGATTGAAGGCAGCAGGAAGATTATGGATATGTGTGTGTGTGGTGTGTGTGAAAAATACAGTGATTTTCCTGCTTATCGAATTCCCAGTGGGAGGAGAAGGTAGTGCTGCTAAACCTCAATAGAATAGTAATGTGCCAGCCCGGCTGTTGTGTGTGTTTGTGCTTCTTCCCACTGTTCATATAGTTCTGTTTAGTGTGTAACTGTAGACTGGCTGAGTGTGATATCTGAAAGAGGTATTTGTCACTCTCATTGTCACTTCTCGGTCTGTGTGTGTGTGTGTGTGGGGGGGGGCATCGTGT